GACGTATATTTATCTCCTTAAGTCGGTTGTGTTTGTTGTAAAAAGTTGTTTCCTGTTAAGTTTGTTTAAAAAAAAAAAACTACAAAAGTAATTTGTCTTGTTAAGTTGTAATCTTGTATTGTTTTCCATTTAGAAAAAAAAAAAAAAAACACGAGGTGGTATTTTATTGTTTGTTACAAGTCGAATTTTTTATTATTCCAAAATGGTAACATAAAAAAAAAAAAGTAACCGAAAAAATTAAGTCGCGTATTGAAATAAAAAAAAAAAAGGGGGGGACCGCCATTGAAAAGTTTTTTGTGTTTTTTTTTTTTTTTTTTTTTTTCAAATTGTTCTTTTTGTTAAACGCGTTGTTGGTTGTTTTCTTATCTGAAATTTTTTCTTTTTTTACCGACGTTTGTTTGCCGGTCGTCACCGAAAAAAAAAAAAAATTTTTTCAAAATGATAAATGTCGGAATTTTTACGCGAAGAAACGAAATCGGAAAAAAAATCAATCAATCAATCAATCACTTTTGGAATTTTAAAATCGACTCCTGCAGTGATGAAAAAAAAAAAACTTGAAAAAACAGAGAGACTGGAACTGAGAATAGAAAAAAAAAAAATCGCACACTTTTTCTGACATTTTAAAAAAAAATTTACCTGTAACCTTATGACCTTATAAATCTTTTACTTATACGCCGCGTTACGGTTTTTTTTTTCATTTTTACGCCGCGTTACGGTTTTTTTTTTCATTTTTACGCCGCGTTACGGTTTTTTTTTTCATTTTTACGCCGCGTAAATTAATAAACTTTCAAACTGGAAAAATTATTATTAGTTATTATCACTACTATATAGCTAAAAAGAGAAAACAATTAGTCTTAATTATTATCACCTTGACATAATCAATTTTAATTAATTATAATTTTTTCTTCTCATTTTAATTTTCCAACTTTTTCTTCTTCCTCTTCCTCCTCTGGTTCTTCTTTTTTTCCTTGGTTTTGTTTTTTGTTTGTTGGTAGCAGTGAGTTTCTCAAAAAAAAATGTTATGAATAATTTTTTCTTCAAGTTAAATTCATTATTTTTTTATACCTTTGACCTTGATTCCTTACTCTCGTTATTATTATTATTATTATTATTATTATTATTATTATTATTATTATTTAATCGTTAGCTTTCGACTTTTTTTTTTTTTCAATTATTATAATTGCAGAAGACGTCGATGACGACGACGACTACGGCGGGAATAACGCGCGTCGTAACGCGTTCGAATCGTTATTTTCAAATACGTCATTCTTTTTTTTTTTTTTTTTCTTTTTATTCGTGACAGTTTTTAATCGTGTCGTCGTTGTCGTCTGCTTGCGATCGGCTCGTATCATCGTTCCCACATTTTTAGATTTTATTTTTTTTATGCTGTCGTGAACTTTGCACCGATACCATCGCCATTTTCTATTTTTTTTTTTTTTTTAAATATATTTTTCTCTCTAGTTTCGAATCGTTTTAAAAGAAAATTTTGTTTTCGTCCTTAAGCTAAACATTGTGGTAGGAGAAAAAAAGAAACAAGAGGCGAAACCTGTAAAGGTTCTCATAAATTTCTTTTTTTTTTTAAATAAATTGTCTAAGAAAAATTTAAAAGTTCGTCGGGGCGAAAACAGGAAAATTGCCAAACTGTTGCTGTTGAGGAAAATTTAAATTGAACGCAATCCAAAAAAAAATGAAACAAAAAAAAAAAAAAAGTTAGAAGGATAGGGAAAAAAAAGCGTATGAGCGAAAGAAAGGAAAAAAGGTAACGAGGAGAGCAAAAGTAACAAAAAAAAGGAGCAAAAACAAAAAATTCGCTCCACTGCGTCGATCGAGATGTTTTTTAAAAACATTTATCAAAATTTAAAAAAAAAAAAACAAAACAAAAGCTCAATATGAAATGTTTGTTTTTGTTTAAAAAAAAAAAAAAATTTAAATAAACTTTTTATGTTTTTATGTTGTTTTTCATATCACGTATATTTATTTATACTATTATTATTATTTGTTGTTGTTGTTGTTGTTGAAAATTATGTTTTGTACTTTAATATTGAGGTTTATTTCCTTTTGTGATTAATAAAATTTATTACAATGTAAGGAACCCACGTAGTATTATTATTATTATTAATAAAATACATCGATTAAATTCCCTGTTGAATTTTATTAACAAATGAATAATAAATGTTGTTATTATTATTATTATTATTATTATTATTATTATTATTATTATTATTATTACGCGAGTGAGAATACGGTGTGATAAATTTTTCTCTTTTTCTCTAGTAAATTTTTGTGAAAACAAATAATTTCGCAAAATAACGCGAGCGACAGATTTCCGGTTTAATGAACGCCATGAAAAAAAAAAAAATGAAAACAATTGCGAGGGATTAAATGAAAATATTTTCAATATTTTCATATCGTTTCCTTTGAATCAAAGAGAGAGAGACAGTTAGACAGGCAGGCGGGGGAAAAAGGGATAGAAAGGGAGAAAGACAAAGAGAAAAAGGGGGAAAACAAAGAGAGATAGAAAGAGGGAAAGACAGAGAAAACAGAAAAAGAGAGAGAGGGAGTCAAATAGAGAAACACACAAGCAGAGAGTACAATAGAAAGAGACATAGATAGACAGAAAGGGAATAAGAAAGAGAGAGAAACAGACAAGCGGAAAGAAAGAGAGGGAGAAAGAGAAAATTAAAAAGAGGGAAGAGAGAGAAAATAAGAAAGAAACAGAGATATATAGAAAGAGAAAACAACCAAAAAAAAAGACAGAGACAGACAAACAAACAAACAAACAAACACACAGGCAGAGAGTAAGACAAATAAAAAGAAAAAATAGAGTAAGACAAACAGAAAAGCACACACAGGCAGAGAGAAACGTTTCGAATTGTTTTTACCATTTAAAAAGGTAAATACGAAAAAGGTTAAAAATTGACCTTTTCCCGATTAGAAAAAAAAAAAAAATTTCTCTTTTTTTTTTTTTTTTTTTTCATATCAATTTTATCGAGAATATTTTTTTTTGTTTTTGTTTGTGTTTTTCATTGTTTTTCACGTTTGTAGTACATAAACATAAAAGTTGTGTAAATTAAAACTTTGTTGAATTTTTTTTTGTTTTTTAAATTGATGAGCTTCGTTTTTTCGTTTTAAAGCACAATTGAATAGATATGGCCGACGTTTGAATTTTTTTTTCCTCTTCTCACGTTTCTTTTTATTTATTTATTTATTATGTTTTCTAGGTAAAAAGTATTTTTTTTCTTTTTTTTTTCTCCGATTGAAAATTTAATGGCGATTTGTTGTTTCTGTCGTCGTTGAAATCAAAAAAATTTTTTTTTTTTTAAATCTGAGCGATTATGCCGCGTTTTTTAATTATCATTATTATGCTCGTGTCACGCTAACTTACGGCATTTGATTTATACAAAAAAATATTTACGACAGGGAAATATTACCCTCGTGCGTGCGTGCGTGTGTGCGTGCGTGCGTTTTTTTGTTTTAATTAAATTTTAGAATCGAAATGTTATTTACACGACTCCGTGAGTACCGAACAAACACTTATACCACGATCGTAATTTTTATAGACGTTGTAAATTTTATTATCGGTGAGAGAGAGAGAGAAAGGGGGAGAGGGTAAAGGGAAAGTTTGCGTTTGTTTATTTGTTTGTTTTTTTGTTTATTCGGGTACCGGTGAAAAAAAAATTTTTACGATTTTTTTTTTTTAAATTTTGTTAAAGTGAGTCACGAAAAGGTGGTGGTGGTTCATTTGAAAAAAAAAAATTATTACTTTTTTTTTTTTTACCACTTTACGTTTAATTAAATTTTTTAAAGTTGTAAAAAAAAAAAAAAAATAATAATAAAACAAAGGTAAAGATGGCGTGAGTGAAATAGAAAGAAAAAAAAGAGAAAGAGAGAGAGAGAGAGAGAAAGAAATTTTCGCGCCTAAAAAAATTTTTTCAATATTTAGTCAGTTATGTTTGTTAAACTTTTTTTTTTTTTTTACAACATTTTAACGGTTTATTAAAAATAAATATTTTATAAATTTTAATGAAAACCGCTAAAGCCCCCCTCCCTCCTCTCTCTCTTCTTCCCCGACGAAAACCTTTGACCTTTGTACTCTTCTTATAAAAGGAAACGTTTTTTTTTTTTTTCGAAGGGGAAGGGGGGTAAATATTTTTAGAAAAAAAAAAAATTTAAAAGGAACGATGTATCCTTTTACCTTCTGCCACACACGCGCGCACACGCACCTTTTCCCCCTTTTAAATAAAAAGGTTTAAAAAAAAAATTTAATAAAGCTTAGATAGATACCCCACCGGATATAGAAAAAATTCTTTTTTTTAAAAAAAAAAAAAAAAACATGGGAGTAGAAAAAAGGGAAGAAGAAGAAGAGAGAGGGATGAAGGGGGAAAAAAGTTTTCAATAATAAAACCAAGTGAAAAAATTTAAAAAATAACGGTCATAATAATTCGGTCATCAAAACAATTCATCTATACGAAATATAGCATAAAAGCTAATAATAATAATAATAATAATAATAATAATAATGATGATGATGATGATGATGATGATGATGATGATGATGATGATGATGATGATGATGATGATGATGATAAATGAAAAATTTATAGCGTTTGTAATATTTTAAATCACGCTATAAAAAATTAATTACGCGAGAGAGTGTCGTAATTAAAATTATTCGCTATAAATATCAAGTCTCGTAATTTTTTTTTTTTTTTCAAGTTTGCCAAACTGATTATTATAAATCATTTTAAATATCTCAACAGGTGGTTTTGTTTTACGTTTAAAACGCACACGCACTCACGCACGCACATAATAGTAATAATAATAATAATTTTTTTCCCGTATCTGTTTTTCCGCAGAGTAGACATCACTCATTTTATAGCTCATTAAAAAAAAAAAAAAATGGCAAAAATAATTATAAAAAAAATTATAGCGCGGCTTTAAAGTGTTGTTGTTGGCATCGCTATTTCATTATTATTATCATCATTATTATTATTTCACGATTAATAAATCATTTGGTAAACACACACACCAAAAGGCGTTAGTTCTTTTGAATTTAAACGTTTACAATCCAACCAACCATCCATCCACCCACTTTTCACATTTTCGTACCTTTAATTAAAATAATTTAAAAAAAAAAACACGTAATAATAATAATAATAATAAAATTATTACGTGTCACATTTAATAAGAATTTTTTTTTTTTAATGTGAGAGAATGATGGAAAAAAAATATAACGAACGAAAAACGCGTTAGTTTGTTTGTTTGTTTCTTTTTTGCACGCGTGAATTTTTTTTTATACACGTGTAATTATATCGATTTAAATTTTTTTTTTGTATCCAGTTCGAATAGAACAACTGACAACCGGGTTGTTTTTTTTGAGAATTTTTAACGGTTCACCTTGTTGTTTGTTGTAGAAAAAAAAAAAATTTGTTAGAAATGGCACATTTAATGATGGCGCAAAACTTTTGTGCGTGCGTGCGTGCGTGAGCGTGTCATGTTTCTTATTAAGTATCATCAACACGAAAATATTTATAACTTTGTGAATGTTTTTTGTTGTTGTTGTTGTTGTTTCATCATGTGACGTAAAATTTGTTTTTCTCTCGCTCGTTTTCTCAAAGAACATGGCGATGTACATTTTTCAATCATTCAAATCTTTTAATTGTTATTATTATTATTATTAACGTAATTGTCAAAAAGTTTTTTTTTTTAACCGTCAATTCCTCGGATTAAAGTTACTTTTATTATTATTATTATTATTAATATTTGAATTCCAGAAGTAATAATAATTTGAACGTTGGAAAAAAAAATTTTTTTAAATGTTAATTAACTAGACAATCGATCGTCGTAAAATCGTTTGAATACAAATCGAATCTATAATAATAATAATAATAATAATAATAATAATAATAATAATAATAACAATAATAATAATAGTAGTAGTAGTAATAATAATAATAATAATGAGGGAAGAAGTTAAAAAAAAATGGGGTCACGAACGATGATATTTCTTTCCTCTTCTAACGCTTTGCAGCGTTTAATTCCACGACGTTAAAATTTAATATAAATCATTATGTACGAATCATCGTGGTAGCAGCAGTAGTAGCAGTAGTGGTAGTAGTAAAATTTAACATATCAAATTATTCGATTGTATTTGAAATCTTTTTCGTAATTTTTTCTTTTTTTCGTACGTCACATAAATAATAAAAATATCAAATTACGATTATGTTTAAAAAAAAATAATTAAACAAAAGAATAGAAATTATTAACCGGTCATTTTACCGGTTCGTTCATTCGATGGAAAAAAAAGAAAAACGAAACAATATCGAGGAAAAAATTGTTTAAGTAAAAAAAAAAAAAAAAAACAAAATGGCGGGTTTTGCGTTCGATTTCATAACCACCGATTACGTAACAGGTGTAAAAAAAAATAAAATAAAATAAAAATTCCAATTTTGGAATAAAAAAAACAATAACAAAAAAAAAAAAAAACAAAAACGTCATCATCGTCGTAGTCGTAGGTTTAGGCGGCGATCGAATACATTTAATAATAATAATAAAGAGAAAGAATTTTTATTTTATTTTGCCCGAATACTTTGGGGGGGGGGGGGTTAAAAAGTTTTCAAACATTAAAATATTTCGTTTCTAAAAAAAAAAAAAAAAAAAAAAAAAGGAACGAACGAATTTAATATTCATGAATGCAAAAACCGTAAAAAGAAAACTATAAAAAAGAAATTTATGTACCATCCGTTGTGGCATTACAAACAATATTTTATTATGGGCGCAACTTAATATTCTTTTTTTTTATAAAATGCACTTTTAATAAATCGACCGGAAAAGATTTTTTAACGCCGCCGACTTGAATTGCCAACCAGTTTCGACACCCGCCCTCCGCCACCCGCCGCCACAACCACCAACATTGCCGTGTTAATAATCATCATTATCGCGACCACAAGTGCCATCGCACTCATAGTTTTGGTCAAATTTTTTTTTTTTTTTTTTTTTTCATCTTTTTCTATTCGTTTGTTGTTGTTGACACGTTTCCTAATGAAAAAAATATTTAAAAAATTAAATTAAAGGGCGTGAACGCGTTTTTATTATAACAAATCACATTGGCTAAAGGGCTTTTTTTCGATTATTTTTTTTTTAAATATTTAAATATCACCAGTGATAATAATAATAATAATGATAGTGTTCGTACCAGAAAGAAGTATGTAAATTTTCATCGTGGAAAAAATTTTAAAAAAAATGGAAATTTTTATATCAATCGCAAACAGCAGAAGATACTTAAAAGTATTTTTGAAGATAAACACGTACGTGTCAATCATGGCACCTTAATCTTTTCGGATTTTTACAACATTACTCGAATACCGGAAATGGTAAAAAAAAATATAGAAATTGAGAAATTCGTTATCTGCCGTCGTCGTGCTGTCGATTTCGTCAGATTCTTATCAGGAGGAGATGAACATCATCACACCGTACACGAGAGATTTCCGAAAAAGAATCGAATCAAACAGAAGAACACACGTTTGTCGGAAAAACAAGGTTCGATAGGTTAAAAAAAACCTGGAACAGGAACAAACAACTGCAAAACCTTCCAAACGAAAGGGATATAAAAAATGAAACGATGATAATAATAATAATAGTAATTTTTTTTATGCGTGAGGAACGTTTTTAAACGTATATTCACGTTGAAATATTACAAATTAATACGAATGATGATGATGATGAAAGGCCGATGTAGGGGAGGGAGGGGAAAAAAAGTTATAAAAAATTTATATAGCATTAAATATAGCATAAAAGCGCTATAAAGTTTTTTTTTTTTATTTCCGAGTAGAGTAATAATTAATAATAAATGAAAAATATTGTTACGGGTGGGGTGGTTTGTCATCCAACTGTTTAATTAATTGAAGGTCAACAAAGGAAAACCCAATTTGTCGTCTGTTGCTGTTGCTGTCGCTGTTGCGTTTGCGTTATACGTCATCAAAACATATTGATGACTTTTAATATTCTCTCATCGTTTTTTTTTTTTTTTTTTATGGAACTTTTAAAACGATTTCATATTATGAAAAATGTTTCCGTTTTTTTTTTTTGTTATCATAATAAATTAAAGTAAAATGACTTTCGATTTCGATCGATCGATCGATTGATTAAAATCAATCGATAATTTTAATAAATTTAATTTTTTTTTTGGGGGTGTGTGTGTGTGTGTGTGAAAAAATCGATTGACGATCCTCTTCAAACGGTCATTAACTGACGATAAGAAAAAAGCAATATGATTTGATTGTTTTTTGATTATTATCATAAAAATCGTTCAATGTTCTTCGCCAATAATAATAATAATAGTAATAATAATAATAATAATAATATTTATAACTAATTGAAATATTTAAACGAAATTGAAAAGTAATTTTCGAATTTTTTTTTTTTTTTAAATGGATACTTTTAATTGAATAAATTGAATCGATATTTTTAAAAATAAGAATGATTTTTAAATTGATAGATTTAGTTCGCGTGGACAACGACAACCGTACAAAAAAAAAACAATTATAAATAATAATAATAATAATAATAATAATAATAATAATAATAATAATAATAATAATAATAAGGTTAAAAATTTTGTTGTTGTGCTTACTACGAAAACGAATTTTTTCCAGCAGCACTATACCAGATTTTTAGAATATGATTGATTGATTTCTTTCTTTCTTTTTACTTTTAAACAAATAAATAAAAAATAAAACACGTGGAATGAATTTTTTGCTTGTTTGTTGGGTTGTTTGTTTGTTTTTAGCTGGGAAAAAGAAAAATTACCGAAGAGAGTTGAACGAAGGGGGAGTTTTTTTTTTTTGTTAAACAACTTAAGAAGAAAAGTTTAATTTATTTATTTTACCTACTTAATAACTTCAACGAAGACGACGACGACGACGGAAGACGACGACAGTGGAAAACGTGTTGCGAATAATTAAAACGGAAGTTGACAATAACAACGACAACAACAAAAAATAAAGAATAAGATAGAAAAGGAAAAAGAAAAAAAAAAAAAGTAAACATCCCTTGTGGGGATCGAACCCACGACCTTTGGATTAGAAGTCCAACGCGCTATCCGCTGCGCCAAAGGGACTTGGCGATACAACTTTCGGTACTTGCAGACTCGAAACAATAAAACAACGGACCGGAAAAAAAAAAAAAAATTTTTTTTAAATTTTTTTTCAAGGTTGTTTTCATTAACGTCGTTATACTCTTATGGAGGACTCTTTTTAAATTGCTGGAATTTTTTTTTTTTTTTAAACCGCCGTTATTATTATCATTATTAACGGGATTGCGTAGGGGAGGAGGAGAGAAAGAGGGAAGGGGAGGCCGTGCAATAACTAATTCGTATTGCGGTACCTCCTAAAAAAACCTTAAAGCCCCACCGATTTTATTTTATTGTTTTTTTTGTGTGTGCGTGTGCGTGTGCGTGTGCGTGTGTGTTTGTAAATTGATAACACGATCCCGCCCAATGACGAATGAAATTTTTAATTGATAAAAAAAATATTTAACTCGTGCGACCTTTTATTTTATTTTATGTGATTTATTATTAATTGATATTAATAGCATTATTATTTTTATTATTATTAAAGACAGTAAAAATTTAAACCCTGATTTGTTGCTTTTTATTTATTTATTTATTTATTATTCATAATAATAATAATAATAATAATAATAATAATAATAATACGAGAAAACGGATTTTTATTTAATTTGTTTATTTATTTATTTTTTCAACTTCGTCGTCGGGAGAATTAAGTTTTTAATTTTTTTTTTTTTTGTTTTATACGTTTTGAAAAAAAATAAAAGGGGATTTTTTTTTTTAGTGGGGGGATGCATGCGTGTTTGCGTGCGTGCGTGTGTGCGTGATCCCTATTTTCCCCCCGCACGTTACTTTTTAACGACAAGGATTAACGCCCCGTTCAAACACGTGTAAAATAAACTTGAATTATTATTATTATTATTTTTAACGTGTTACGTTTTAAATGTGATAGACATTATTAAATGGAAATACGATACGCCGCGTTATCATCATCGTCATTATTATTATTATTATCATTATTATTAAAATAAATCTTTTTTGTTTTTTTTGGGTGTGCAAAATTTTTTCTTTTTTCTCTTACAAACCTTTAAGCATTTTCCCGGCGTCGAAATTACCGCTATCGATAAATTTTTAATAATGACATAACACTATTAGTTTCCATATATGGAGGGAGAAAGGGGGGGAGGTTAAAAAAAATTCCGCGTAATCATCCATAAAAGTTATTTTTCCATATAAATATAAATATGCACACACACATCACAAGTGTGTGTGCGAGAATTTAAATTTTTTTCTCTGCCCCAAATTATAAAATGAATTTGACACACAATGTTAAATTTACGACGTTTGAATTTTTTTTATTTTTCTCGGAAAATAAAACTAAAGACGAAAATTTTGTTTTTGTTTTTTTTTTTTTGTCCATTTTCGTATATTATTAAAAAAGAAAAAAATGCCGCAATCGTTTGTTTTATTCGAAAAATGGCGCCAAAAAACTTTATTATTATTATTATCATTAATAAAAATTTATTACGTAAAAAGAAAAAATGATATACGAGTATGTCAAAAAATTTTTATAAATAGT